TGTATCTCTCAGGCCACAGGTTCTGCCCCAGAGAAGACAGAAGTACAAATTAACAGACAGACTTTTGATACCAAGGTCTTTCTTTGCAAGAGAGGATATATGCTTCAATGAGTAACAGTCGAGAAATAACACCAGTGTACACACAGTGAAGTGCACACAGCATGCAAAGTCTGGATTAAGCATTCTTTTATTTAACAATTCAGCCTCCCAGTTTACAGATATCTTCTTTTCAGCTAGGGAGGGAAGGGGAAGGAGAGACTTCCCAGGAAAAAACCCACAGACAAATTTAATAAAAAGCGACTTACCAACATCCATTGTTAGAATCATGACCCCACTTCTGTGTCCCAGGAAGCAGGAAGCCTTACCCATCCAGTGTATGCGAATGACTCAGAAGGACAGCATGGCTTTGTTTCAGCTTATATCTTCTGGCTCATTCACCCCTCCTCCCTTTCGTGGGATAAAAGTGTTGCCTGTGCCTGGCTATCCCTATTGGCTCAGCTAGGGAAACATACTCATTTAGCACATTCAAGTTTCTGTGAGAGCCTAAAATGACCCACAGAGGATTTTTTATTTATCTTTAAAAAAACAAACCCCAAACCAACAACACTTTAAAAGAAAACCCAAAACCAACACAAACACTTTTTGTCTTTCTGGGAGAAGATATCATTCATTCTTTCACTACTAGACACATATAAAATGATGTTATTGTCACAGGGGCAAACAATTCCCTGCACTCTGAATCAGTGAGAAGGTGGCAAGTCAGGGAGGACTTCACAGTGTTCAGTAATCCCCAGTTCAGCTGCATTGTCTGTCCATGGGAATAAAGCCACATGTTCTGTGTCAAAGCCTATGCCCCCCAAACCAGCTTATCTTCAATGCAAACTGTATATAACCCAAAAACTGAGGAACTCCCAGCTTGCCAGAGAGGATTTGCTCGTCCATTTTATTTTTAAATAGGCAGAACAGTAAAAGATTCCTGCCTTACTGAAGACACACAAACAGACCCTACAGGTTTAACTTGCAGTGAGGAAAAAAAAGTAATTTTTTTCTTAACACATAGGATTCTCTAAATGTAACAACTGGTATAATCTAGGCTTGGGCTGAAGAATTTAGAAAGCTGTTACTATCTATTTTTGAACCACCTCTCTAATGAGTAATAGTGTTAAAAAAATCACCACAATGTAAGTGAAAAATCTATCTGATCCAGAGATATCACAGTGTTTTGTTAACTTTGATCAAACCATAGGACAGCCTAAAAAGTGCATTTGGAAGGAGGGAAGCTGGAGGGGGAGAGGAATTTGTTTCTTTCTGTACTGCAAAATCCTTTAAAACTTGTAGTCAGACCCTGAAAGACAAGCTGCTGTATCTTGGCATCGTGAACTGTCAACAGACTTGATATCTGTACTTACGGGTTCAGCAAACACAGTGAATGAAACACTGGTGTTGTCTTCGACAAGAATTACCTTTTCTAAATAAAGCCTGGACATTCTAGGCTACTGTCTCACCACGTTAGTCACCACTAGATAACCTAAGATTCATAACTCTGTGATACAACCACAAGTGTATTTTGGAAGTGTTGCTTGTGGTTGTTGAAATAAACAGAGTACTCCCTCTCCTCCCTCCCTCTGTTTTTAGAAAAGGTATCAGTTGCAAGTCATGAACACCAAGGTTTGTAGAAGCCACTAATGAAGTTAGAATGCATAATTCAAAGAAATGAGCAAAAACATTACAATTGAATCACTGCTTCTCAGATTTTTTGACCCTCTCTTGCTTTGCATGGCTTTACAACAACACTCTGAGTCATTACAGTTTGGGGGGAAACATATTCCTAAAGTTGAAAATTTCTGACATTTTCAGTAGGGCACTGCAATAAAAGCTTTGGGAAGAGGCATAAGTAATTCAAATCCTAGAAACAAAACTGAAAGTGTTCACTGAATGGAAATTAGGAAGAAATTACCCTTGGTGGACAGGCTGCTCCTCAAAAGCCCTACTACAGAAAGTACACAGTGTCAGACCCAGATGGGTCAAAATCAAAGTTTTGAGGATGCCTTCAAGTAAGGCAATCCTAAAGTCTGAGAGGAATTGTATGGAGAAAATAGCATAAGATCAGTCCTCACCAACAAAGGAGAAGGTGAAGAGCTGATTGACATTTAATTACAACTGAACACCTGGGCCCTCTGCACAAAACTCCAGGCTATTCCAACATTAACACTTCCACTCTCAGGTAAACTGAGCACAAGTAACACTGCCAGAGAATATTAGGCACAACAGGTACTATACCAAACACACACACTTTAACAAAAGCACATTGTGTAAGAGCAAACCACTTTCAACAGGATGACATTTCCTGTAAGCTTGGCTTTTGTGAGAAATCTAGTACTACTGTTCTGTACCAGTAAAGTGCAAAAGTTCAAGTAAACTGTTATCAAAACAGAAAAAAAAAAAAAAAGGCACCCCAACTGCTGGGTCAGCAAGAAACTCTCAGGTACTGCATGGCATTATTTTTTAAAATGGTGCAAGCATTAATAATTCAGCTTACAAACTATTAAAAAAAAAAATAGCTGACTTGAAACCAGAGAAGAGGGGAACAATCTTACTGAAAAAATAAATAGGAAGTAAATCCTTTTGCCTTTAGCCTGAGAAGGAAGAGGATGAAGTTTCCAGGGGCATTAACAAGAATATTAACCTGAAGGGGACTGCTGCACTGACATGGGATTTATCAAAACTGGGCATCCCCAGTGTTCCATTTCTACCCTAGATAGCAGAAATTAATCAGTTCACTGTTTCTGCAAGCTACACTAGCCAGTAAGAGTTGTCTGAAATTTACGCAATTAAAAATACACCAGTATTAGAAGGAACAGTCCATGTTTCTTCATATATAAGCAGGGCTGCTTAAGTGTCCAGCAAGACAGTACATGGACTTGCACATGGAGCCTTGACTTTGCTCTCTTTGTGGAAGTTTCACAGTACAGGTAGTACATGATAAATGATATGCTGCTAGCAAAGCTAACACTGTAAATTAGAAAACAAAATACCTGGTCATAAACTATGTCTACTGGAATGACATGAAAAGAGAGCATAAGTGACTCATGTGATTGCACTCTGCACATTTTCCAGCCTCCAAAGTCCACTGTCCAGTCTTACTCAGATGGAACTCCAACAACAAAGTAGAAAGCTGGGTCATGACCCCCAGGATCACCAATTTTCATTCATCATTTTACAGTCTGATAATCTGAAGTCCATGTAATTGCTTAATGAACAAACATTATAAGCCAGTTACAGATACAGTAAATACTGCACAGTATTGCAAGATGCTGTGGAAAAACTTGAACATGTTCATCCAAAGACTATATATCCAAGTAGCATCTGGCTTAGTTATCAGACCTTGTCCAGCTATGTCACTTAAGTGTGTAAATTGTGTACTGTTAACAAGCTCTACTTGTGTAAATTGTCTATGAAAATAAACCTCATTTTAGCTGTTGATTGCTTTTTAAATACAGCCAGAATACTTATTCACATGGTCTAATAGCATCATCTTCTGAAGGTTACAATCACTTTATGATGGTATATACAAAGAAACAAGTTCAGCAAGAAATTCTCTGGAGGCTTAAATTACTTTAGCCTTTGTTGATAGAAGTTATGTACATATCACCCTTAAAAAATTAAATTCCCATGACTGTTCACATACCTGCATTAGTATTGCAATAACAGGCTACTTACTGCTCACCTCCATTACATTATTCACTGCATAGAAACCAATAAATGTGTTGTGAATGTGCTTGCTCTAACATTTTTGAAGGAGACTTTATAAAATGCTTTAATTCTGAATTGTCAAGATTCAGTTCCCTTTTCTCCCTGATCAAAGTTATCAAAATTAGGTTTTGCTTTTCTACTGCAAGCCCTTCCAACTTTGCAAAGCTCTCTAGCACATGTAAGAGCAGGCACTGTCCCAGTCCCCCTCTTTTCTTCTAATATGTTAAAACCAGCAAAAGAAGCTTTCATTCAAGCTTCCACTCTTCACACCACGTTCTTGCAGCTTTCAAGACCGGTGACAAGTTGCAAGGAACACAGCTCTCACGTAATTCTGGAGCAACAACTGACAAGGTCTACCATACCTCTGTGAAAAAACACAGGCTATATGTAGCAAGAGAACTAACAGGATGACAGCTCTTGCCTGGCATTATGACCAGAATTAGACATCAATTTTCTCTTAGGAAAGTTAAAAGATGGATCAGCTATATACTATTATGCTGATGCGAAACAGTGAGATCTTCCTGATCATGTCCAAGAAATCACATCTCTCCAGTGACAAAAATTACACAACTCTTCAAGAGCAAGATTAACCCCACAAGTTATGGGAGATCTGCCTTTGTGGAACAGACAGAACTTGCTACAAACACACACACAGAAAGGTACCTTTTGTTCTTGGTTTGTGTTCACATAGGGAAATGGTCTCCCTTATCTAAGAACTGAAAAAACTGAATCAAACCTAAACTGCAAATATATAATCAACCATGAAGAGTGGGCAACATGAAATAGAGTACAGATCTGTAATTAATTAAAATGTTACATTTGAAGAAATTGTACATAGTCTAGAATGGCTGAAGTTATTTTGTTATGCAACAGTTGGAAGAATGAATGACAGAAAGGCTGGAACAGGGGTCCATCTCAGCTGCTTGCTGTCTTTTAATGAATATTGAAGTTTCAGGAACTCATATTGTCACTTTCTTACTGCATAACATTTCTTCCTAAAGCTGCATGAGCATCTCCTAGGTATTTAAATACCAATCAGCTTTTCTGAAGGTCCTAAAGTCTACTCTGGGATCTTTATTATATCACTGCATTTTATTAAAGTTAAATACACACTAGGAGGCACACACAGATTCTCCTTTAAATGTTTGATACAAACAACTCCATGAAAAAAAAAAAGGAAAAAAAAGAAAAACAACAACCTTTAGTTCCTGGTTTACATTTGCATCTATTTTTCAGCAAAGGCTTACCTTAAATCCCAGCCATCCAGGCCTGACCCTGTAGCTACATCTGCATCACCATGTCCAAGTGGCTCACAATCCAAAGGCAGTCTTCCTACAAGAAACAAACACAATAAAGTATGGGTAAGAACCACAAATGCACATCCCAGGATATGACAACAACTACAGAACTACCAGGCAGCAGCACAAAGGGAATGAACTGATTAATTGACAGGAATGAAGAAGTTTAGACCATATTACTACCTTGCCCACTCATATAGATACGATCATCACCACAAGCAACAGAACTTTTCAAAGCCCAGCTATTGATGCGCTGTAGCCATACTCACAGAGGAGAAGTCTTGTGGTTTCCTAGGAACTATGAGGAACTTGATCCCTCATGGTTACTAGAGTCTGACCCTTTAACATAAGACATTCCTGAACTACCAGTTTCTCTGGAAATTCTGAACTTTCTCTTAACCACCTCACAGCAAGTAGTCTGTATTACATCTTTCAATAAAGTCAAGCAGCACTGAAGAAAATAGCACCAACAGCATCTACCAAAATACCCTCAAAATCTTTAATATTAAACATCAGCGGATGCAACTGAAAGCCAATTCTCTTCCTAGAACCATAGCAACCAGGAGACAGACCTAAGACCTCTCCTAGCAGAGCTGACCTATAAAGCAAGTCCAGTTCTGCAGACAACACCTGCCACATGGCTTGATTTCTGATCCCCACACCTTGCACCACAACTGGTTTTTATTTTCTTTTTGGCAAATACAAAACTTCTCTGGTTGTTCCTGTAACATTAATTTCAGGGTGATTTAGCCCACATGGATACTCATGTTCATGAAGTATCCAAGTTAAGTTGTTTCAAACTAGCTGAATTATTCCAGCACCACACTGTCCTTAAAGATGCCAATCCCCTGGACTCATAAAAACTTACAGTAATCAACTACTCCAGGTTTGTTACTCTATTCTGTACCACATGCAGTTGTGTCTTTCCAAAGAGCAGTGAGGAGTTCTCCAATGCAGACCTGAACTACCTGAAGCATTCTGTGCTGTTGAACAGATTACTGTCTCACTCCTGTTATAGCTGGTAACTAAAATAACATTTCTACTCCTCGTCAGCTCAGGCTCAGCTCACCTGCAGATATGTTTGGGTGTCAGATACACTGCTTTCACTTTCATAACTGCTTTATTCAACTTCTTTTTTTAATCTATTAGGAGGTACAAAATGAAGTCATGATATCCTATGCGACTGGAGTAACAACTGTTAAGAGCAGTCAGGTCACTGCTCTGCTTCCACTGCAGCTGCTGAACATGTCAGACACTAATAACAGCATCTAGAGAAGAGGTCAAAACAAAAATAATTCATTGAAAAGACAGATAAGACAGGAATTTTGCCTGAATTGGAAAAAATTCTGATTTTAGAAGACAAGCAAACCCACAAACATGGACTACCTTACAGTGCACAAGAACAGGTAAGGCAGCAGTTCAGTCTTCTCCCTGCTGTTACACAGCTGTTCACACATTTGAACTAAGCCAGTTTTTAAGATCTACCCATACTTATCTCTGTATTTCAGGTAGGAAATTAGCCTAAAGTTCTAAGAATATGGTAAATAATATGCTATTGTTTTCACATTCCCAGTTTCCATTTACCTCAAATAAGCATTCCTGCACTTTGGAAGAGTAAATGAGTGGGTGCTCACTTCAGTCTGGTAGGAAAGGTGAAGAAAAGAGGGGATAGGTGGAAGAAGGATAAACTAGTTTTTCCAACATCACCTAATGCTCAGTTTCCAAATTCCTTCTTGCTATTGACTTGCAGGGTTGCCTGATTACTTCTGCTGTTCCTACCTTCTTTTTCTTTAAGTGTCAATATTTTAAAAAACCAAACCCAAAACCAAAACAAACAAAACACAAAATAGAAACAAAAACAAACAGAAACAAAACCCCAAACAAAAACAAAACCAACCAAACAAACAACAAAAAAAGAGAAGGATTTGAAATCCAGCTATAGTTTAGGTCAGCTACTTCACAGATTTACTGGAAGAGACTGTGAGGTGGGAAGAGGGGATATTTATATTGCCCAACACACATTATATCTGGTGCACACTGCCACTGTCCCACCAGTATATTTCAATAATTCTTTTTTTTTGGCAGATGTTACATTTGTGTATTGGAACAAGAGAGAGAAGACTTTGGTGCTGCAGCTTTGAAGCCCATCAGAGTCTGTCCTTTTAAAAGAGCCTTAAAATCTGGTGTAAGTTGAACTATCTTGACAGAGTTGGTTTGTTGGGGTTTTTTTGGATATGTTTGCACATGTCACTATATTCTACACATCCTTGTTAGTGTCAGGAGTCTTACCAGAAGTTTTGGCAAGAAACTTCATGATGAGACAAACATAAGACCTAAGAAATGCAGAGCACCTACCAGGAAACACTTGAGATTGAAATCAAAATGTGAGAGCTGGGAATTGAATTCTAACCTTTTCAAGACTGACCTTGGCTGCAACTTTTTGCCCTCTCTCTGCAGTTCCTCTGGGAAGTGCCCGGCAAGCCACTTGAAGTGCATATCTGATAACCCCTGCATTTTGAGAGTTTAGAACAAAAGCAGGAAAAGACACTCCAAGTATTAATTTTGGCCTTTTTGATGGACTCTGCTTTATTACACAACAGATAGATACTGGAATTAGTCAGTACATCATGAAGGAAAGACAGACATCAAAATATCATTTGGATACTTGACATTATGAACTAGAAAGTGGAACTAGAATGGTAATCATCTCTGCTTAGCCACAGAGATCTATCATTTTTGATCCAGGAGAATAATCAAACTTACATTTCTTCTATAAAAAATATTCTTCTGGATGCAGAAAACATCAATATTTGGACTGATATAACATCTGTCAGCTGAACCCAGAAGGATGGTCACTGTGCACAGACACAGAGCTGCTATGCAAGAAATTGCAGGGGTCTATCAGACTATTCACTATGTTGTCTACAGGAACCTACAACAGCTTCTCTTCTTTAAGATAAGCTTTCTAGTTCTGGAGCTCTCACATGCACAACAGACTTTGAAGAGTTTCACTGAAAACAATTAAGGTGCATCCCTCCAGTCAGAAAAGGATAGGAAAAGAAAATAAATTTTTAGGATGTTTTATTTGTTGCTTAATGACTTACATCAGTTCTGCAAAGCCATTGCCTTCTCAGGCTCTTGCCCGACCCAATGAAGCCTGACACCATTTAGAGATGTTTTGATAACGCCCAATTCTGCAAAGCCTTGGTACATATTAATTTTTTACAGAAAAAAAAAAAAAAAAAATCAGCTTGGAAAAACAACAGTGCAACAACTTTCCTGTGAAGCCAGGAATCCTCATAGAGAGTTCAATTAAACCAGAGTCTAACACCTCCTTCACACTATCTCAGCTGAGGTGTTATCCTTCTTAATGCTCCAGAGGCATGTAACAAAACATACTGGGCAGGAGCCAAGTGCAAAGGAGATTTTCAGGCTGCTGGTTTTCCTTTTACTGTTTTTCTTTTTACTTCCATCCCATCAAAAAGAAAGATGACAAAAACTTTCATTGGTCCACATCTCTTGAACACTCAGAATATCACTTAAGAACAGGAAAATTCAGTTCTATCACTGCACTTACATCTATACTGGTGTAAGCCTGTAAACTCTTAATATCCCATGTTCTTTCATGTTTTTGAGGCATTTTAGAAGAACCCTACACAAGACTAACAGGATGCAGGCACTTTTGTTTGTATTTCTCACAGAAATCATTCAGCAGCTCAAATCCACCCTATTGGTTTTGTCTCCTATCTTAAATTGCCATTTGTGATGTAATCTGCTCCAGTCAGCAGGACTCTCCTTCAGTGCACTTCTCTTCCATTCCGCCTCAGATAATACTTGTTATAGTTTGAACATCTGCTCTAGTCCCTCTGCTCAATGATGTTTTCAGAAACAATCTGCTTTTGAACATTCCAGATATTTAAGGAAATTATGTTTCTGGAGAACCGAAGAACACGTGCTGAGGAAAGAACCTCTACAAATATCACAACAGAATCACGCCTGACTACGTTTTCCTCAGCATTCAGAAGTGAAGCCATTCACCTGGAGGTTACCAGCTCAGTGCTCAGAAAGCTGACAACTGACACCTACTACTCTAAAAATAATAGGTGCAGGAGCAATTCTCCCACCAAGCCCTTAATAAGTACACTGCACGAGTTAAGGATGACTCCTGTAAATACCCTGGCATATAGAAATATATCTGAACCAAAAAGTCATGGTATTGTAATGCAAGGTGAACGTTTGAGGTGCACGCTGGAACAACTGAATGTGCATATTCATGCTTGCCACATTAAAGTACTGTTATTGATCCTTGCCTAATATTCCCTAAGCAAGGAGAATTAAAAAGAGGAAGCTCAAAAAAGTCATTTAGCCAAGAAACTCACAAGACACATTAATGTTAAGTTTTTTCCATAGTAACAGGCTACAGTTTCTCTTAGAATCTGGTTTCAAAGTTAATGAAATAGGATTCTGCAAGAAACTCTATACCACAGCACAGAAGCTCCCATCGTACACTGACCTCTAGTGTAATAAAGACTCAAGACATCAGAAGTCTCTTCAAACACTTAGAAAAATTATCAAATTTTTTTCCCAGTACTCTGAAGGGCATTTTCATGCAATAAAACAGACTGAAGTCAGATGGGCCTCCCAGGATTACTCTCAGTTGTTTCACAAAACTGAAGCATGGGTAAAAGAAGATACAGAACTTAATTGTTCTAAGGATGTGAAATTACTGCTGTGTTTACATAAGTAATTTACATCGCAGCTGCATTTAATTACTTGGAACACCAGTTTAATTTAACACCTACATGCTCTGGATGTACAGATTTGTTTCCTAACTACAGTTTTACAAAGCTAAATTAAAAAAAGAAAATCAACAACAAAACAAACAAACAAAAAACAACAACAACAAAAAACCACATTCAAAGTAGAAATACTAGGCATGGGCAAGTCCTATACCAAAGAGATACCAATTAGATCAGTTCAGCTTCTGCATCAGACTTTCAAAGAGCATGTGGACTCAGACTGCACTTCCTGTAG